TGGTCATTAGGAAAAATTACCCCCATTACAGATAGCTAAAAAGATTAATGGTGTCAGTGGGAACTTTTCTGAGAGGCAGAAATTATTCATTGTTCAAGGAACCCCTAGCAACCTCTGGATGAACTCTAGGGTTCCATGGAGTTTTGAGTTATCTTTCATATGATTTAGCCATTCTATATGCACTGGGGGGGCAGTTTATAGAATAAGCTTCCTGCCCTGGATGCTTTGGACATAGCAGATTTTGTGTTCTCGTCTGCTATAAAGTCATTCAAAATAACTAGTACACAGATTTTGAGATCTAAGCAGACAGTTAGCTGAAAGTTGCTATTCAGAGCGACAAAGACAGAGTACCAATATCTCTGCAATTTGGGGCATCTCCACGGCATAGGACAGTTAGAAGAATTTACCCATTTTGCATAATTTCAATGGCAAATATTGTGCCTGTAGTACAATGTAAAGTTGTGACAATTGATGGGTCAGGTTGAATAAGCATTGGGTAACCAAGTTCAGAGTGCTTTCTCACTCTTCTCCTTTAATGGGTCCCATGTCCCTCTCCCATCTATTCATAATCTTACAGGGGTATATGATTAATATTTTTGTTTGTTGTATACTTGCTCAAGCCAAGGTGGTCATCTTTTGGCTTCACCCCTGATAGCTAAGCAGCAGAGGCACATCACTAATCATATGGTAATATTACTTCTCACATGTTAGCAGTAAAGGATTACTTCTGGTTCATGAGACACTTTAAAGCGGAGCTCCACCCAAAAGGGGAAGTTCCGTTTTAGGGACTGCTCCCCCTGCACCTTTGGGGGGCAGGGGGGAGTGGGTACCCTAATTTGATAGGTACCCACTCCCAATTCCGGTCCGATCGCCTAGGCGTTCGGAAGCGGAAGGTGTCCTCCCTCCCTGTAGTCTTTTGGGACATGTAACAGGTCCCAGAAGACTACAGGATCATTCATGAAGCGCAGCGCTACTCACGCATGTGCAATGGGTACCCGTCTGTGAAGCCACAAGCTATCACAGCCGGGTGCCCCCACTGAAGATGCCGGCCTCCTGGAATACAGGACGGCCGGTGAAACAGGCTGCGGAGGACACATCGCGGGACCGAGGGACAGGTAAGTTGTAGTTTTTTAAAAGTCAGCAGCTACAGTTTTTGGCACGGTGAGTGGAACTCAGCTTTAACTTTACAAAGGCTCATGCCAAGGAATAGTTGTAAATTGATTAAAGGCTGAGAGGACTGATGGGACCTTTTTGAGCAAGCCATTTTATATTTCCTTTTGTTTTTTATTTTTTTACTTAAAATAAGTCTGTCTTGACAAACATAGAGGCTACTGTGGTGCCCATGCCTGATTGCCTGACCCACCCAATACAGTGATGGTTCACTGATTTGGAAGAGCCATAATCAGAGATCTATACATAACTGCAGTTTGCAATGCCAGGATCTTTACACTATTATGTTTCCTCACACCAGCCACATCTCTGTCAGACCTGAATACTAGCATAGTTGGTGCATAAGTGAGTAGTGCAGTGCATAAGTGAGTAGTGAGCAGGGGTGGACTGACCATTGGGGAACTTGGGCACTGCCCGAGGGCCCGGGGTCATTAGGGGGCCCCATGAGATGTCCCTGTACCTTTCATAGGCTTTTTTGGGTGTGGTTTGAGTGTGGGCGAGAACACAGGGGCCCCATGATCCCTTATTGCCCAGGGGCCCCATGAGTTGTCAGTCCACCCCTGGTAGTGAGGCAAGTAAAGACCTCCCATGTGACTACATGATGCAGAGGCTAGGGTAAAATAAAGCAAATATTTGTATGTTGTGGTTAGTATTTTGAATTTTGTTCATTGGTAGAGTGCAAACCAGAGGGATTGGCAGAGGGGAGATGGGCAATGCATGTAATCTTCATGAACTGAATGAGGATAGTCTGTGTAGAGTTAGGCCAATTGGGACGGAGTTGTAATAGTTAAGGCAAGATATAACGAGGGAGTGAATTAGTAACTTTGTGGTATCTTTGGTTAAAAAGGGGTATATTTTGTCGAGCCACTGGCTTTAGCGCTCCGGACCGATTGCAATATATCGGGGGTTCCATACGCGGGACAGGAGTTTAAGCTGAGCCTCTTTGCGGACGATGCCCTCTTGACCCTTACTAATCCTCTGACGACGCTTCCTAACTTGCAACGAGTTCTTGAGCGCTTCTCCTTGATTTCGGGTCTATGTATCAACTTGGATAAAACCGTCGCTCTCAATATTACTTTGGCTTCAGATTTGGTTTCGCGCCTACAATCCCACTTCCCTTACCGGTGGGCTTCCTCTTTTCTGGAATACTTGGGCATTCACTTGACCCCCTCCTATGACTCCCTTTTTGCTGCAAATTATTATCCTTTGCTTAGCTCTTTATCTTCTCTTATGCATTCCTGGCAATTTCCGCACCTGTCTTGGATAGGACGGGTTCATTCAGTGAAAATGACCATCTTGCCGAAATTGTTATATTATTTTCGCACCCTCCCTGTGCGGGTTCCCCCTCACTTTCTTCGGTTGCTTCAGGCGAAGTTTATGCGTTTTATCTGGGCCGATAAACACCCCAGAGTCTCTAGAAATACGCTCTTTGCTCATAGACTCCAGGGTGGTCTTGGGGTACCCAATGTAGCTAAGTATTATCAGGCGAGCCAGATTGCCCCGCTGTCTATGTTGCACGCTTCCTCCGATGTTCCTCTCTGGGTCCTGCTGGAACTACCTAATTGTGCCCCTATTGCACTGTCGACACTCCTATGGCTTCCCCCTGCCCTGCGCCCTATGGCGCTGAGTCCGATGTTGCTCCATGGCCTACAAGTCTGGGACTCGGTACGTTACTCCAGTGGCCTGATGTCACCCTTTTTGCCCTTGCTTCCAATCGTTAACAACCCTCTTTTCCCACCGGGTCTAGATTGCCCGAGGGCATTTTCTTGGTGGGTGGCTCATGGTTTCTCACAGGTGCAACACTTTTTGATTTTTCGGTCCTTTCCCGCCTGGAATGTCCTTAGGGAGTCTCGGGATGTTCCCCCAGCGGAATTTTTTCGGTACCTTCAATTGCGGCACTGGCTACTTTCGCTGAGAGCCACTTCTGCTTTCCCATATCAGAAATCTGCCTTTGAACGGCTTTGCCAGCAGCACCCGGGCGCCCCGGGCCTTATCTCCCTTCTTTACGCAGCTTTGAACAGACGCTCGTCTCACACTTCTCTTTCATATGTTGTTCAGTGGGAACGCGACCTGGGAGTGGCTGTGGATCCGGAGGACTGGAGTAGGGCCTGGTCACTCATAGCTAAATGTTCATTTAATACGACCCACGCTGGAAGCAGCCTACAAGGTATTGTTCCGTTGGTACTGGGTTCTGGCTCGTCTGGCCCAGGCTAACCCTGCCTGTAGTGATCGATGTTTTTGGGGTTGTGGCCATCGTGGCGATGTACTGCATATCTGGTGGTCATGCCCGAGGTTGGTTCGTTTTTGGTCTCGTGTGTTTGGCCTCCTTTTCACTTTGTTCCATCTCTCCATACGCCGGGATGCTCGGTATGCTTTGCTTCATTGCCCCCTACCGGGCCTCTTGGCTCGTCAGCAGCGGTTGGCTTCCTATTTGTTTTTATCGGCTACTAGGACAATTGCTCAGGCCTGGAAGAGTCCGTTTGTACATTTCCAGGGGGTGCGGGATCGTATGACTACTATGATGCTCAACGAACAGATGTCGAGTATATGCAACGACTCTCAACATAAATTTTTGAAAGTATGGGAGCCGTGGTTGCAATACGCCTTTCCCACGCTCCCCCCGGCCAGTGTGGGGGGGTAATGGAGTTTGGTATTGGCGCTCGTGGACCCCTGCTCTTTGTTTTTTTTTGTTTTTTGTTTTTTTTCCCTTTCTTCTCTGCTCTTCTTCTCTCCTTTTCTGTTTGTTTTGATGTGACAGTGGACAACTGTCTTTAGTTGCGATAGTCAGAGTCTTACTGATGTTATTGTAACCTATGTGCCATTGATAGCCCCTGCGTGGGCATACGTTTTGCCTTATTGGAATTAGAGCGTTGTCTTCTCTATTATGCCTTTTTTATTGGTGCAATTGATAGCCCCTGCGTGGGTGTGTTTTGTTGCCTCTGTTTTATACTGTTTAAAATTAATAAAAACCATTGAAATACAAAAAGGGGTATATTTTGGAGATGTTACAAAGGTGAATTTTGCCAGGTTTGGACAATGATTGAATGCGTGGGCAGAAGGAAAAGCCAGAGTCCAGGATTATACCGAGCATCATGGCATGAGAGGAGGGACTGATTATTGTACTATTGATCTTGGTGGAAAGTTTGGAGAAGTGGCATGGGTGGAGTAAATATTGTAAGCTCAGTTTTGGAAATATTGAGTTTGAGGAAGTGGTGTAACATACTGATATGTTGGTTGGTAAACAAGTAAATAGTTTTCCCTCTTCTTGTGTGTCATACAATATCTTCCAACTTTGGAATATGACAAGGATGGACACCCTATCAGCTGAGTAACATGCAACAAAACAAATGGCTATATTGTAAAATGGCTATATTATAAAAATGAGAGGAGAGACCAATCAGAGTGACATGATGGCTTCAGTTGCAGAGCTCTCTCTGGTCTGCTGTGATATCTGCTCTCTGTTAATAATGAGCCCCCAGTTTGCTCTTGAGGCTTATACCAAGCTGACATGTTCTCTGTTCTGCTGCAGTTGAGTTGTTGCAGAATTAGTACTTTGTGCAATACCTGCCATTGTTTATTTTCAAAATTTAGAGAAAAACAGGATTAATAGCTACTAGCTCTGTTGTTCATATACTGTAGCTCTCCCAACAACAATAAGCATAAGCTATGTGTGTCACAAATGTATGTGCACTCCTGTTATGTTGGGAGGGGGCCCAAGGTTGCTTAACCGCTTTCCGCCCGCCATATAAGGAATTAACGGATAGGCAGTGGTTCTCTGGTTCAGGGAGGACGTCATATGAAGTCCTCCCACTCTAACCGCGTGTGCGTGCCCCCGATCAACGGACAGAGCTCTGTCATGTGATCAGCTGTGTCCAATCATAGCTGATCGCATGTAAATAAGGAAATGCCTGTTATCAGCATTTCTCTCCTCACGAGCTGTCAGCGTTCGGCATTCCTCAGAGGGGACATCTACACTGATGATCAGTGCCCTGATGATCAGTGTAGCCCCATCAATGCCACAAATCAGTGTCCATTAATGCCACCTGTCAGTACCCATCAATGCCACCTGTCAGTGCCCATCAGTGCACATCAATGCCACATATCAGTGCCTACCAGTGCTCATCAATGCCACATATCAGTGCCCATCTGAGCTGCCTTTCAGTGCCAACTATCAGTGCCAGTCAGTGCCACCTATCAGTGCCAGTAAGTGCCGCCTATCAGTGCTGCCTATCAGTGCCTGTCAGTGCCGCCTAACAGTGCCAGTCAGTGCCACCTAAGAGTGCCACCTATCTGTGCCATATATGAGTACTGAATTTCAGTGCCCATCAGTGATGTTTGTCAATGCACATCAGTGCCACCTATCAGTGCCTCCTCATCAGTGCCCATCAGTGCAGCCTATCAGTGCCCATCACTGCAGCCTCATTAGCGCACATCAGTGAAGGAGAAAAATTACTAATTTACAACATTTTAGAAGAAAAACTAAGAAAAAAAAACGTTTGTTTTTCAAAATTTTCAGTTGTTTTTGGTTTGTTTAGCAAACAATAAAAAACCCAGAGGTGATTAAATACCACCAAAAGAAAGCTCTATCTGTCTCCAAAACATGATAAAAATTTTGATTGGGTACAGTGTTGCATGACCACGCAATTGTCATTCAAAGTGCAACAGCGCTGAAAGCTGAAAATTGGCCTGGGCAGGAAGGGGGTGAGAGTGCCCGGTAGACAAGTGGTTAAACCACTTCATTAGTGATTACTATCAATTTCCTGTCCCAGGCAAAATGTCATCAGGACTGAAACTTTACACAGACAGTAATAAAAGCCCAATGGAGGCTCTTATCATTTCTAGCTTTAGGCTAGCTTCACATTTGTGCTGTTCTGCATGTCGTGTTTGTGCAGGCACAGAAGTCCATTCATTAGAATGGGCTGATGTGCCCATGTTTTCTTGCAGGAAAAAGGGCACCACACTTTTTTTTTCCTAACACAGACACACAAAAAAGCATGGTACTTTGGCACCATGCATTTACAGGCTTTGGGGGTACCATTAAGAGTTAATGGGACCCACGTGATTTCTTTAAAGGTGTTAATGTTTTGTGTGTGACTGTGGGAGCATGTGTGATTCACATGCCTTCCCGCACCTGCACAGATGTGAACGTAGGCTTATCCTAAACACAACAAAAAAGTTGCAAAAGTTAAACTTAAAGTAGATGTAAATCCTGACTGAATGACATTAGGTAAAATACCTTAGTGTTGCTTTACTAAAACTGAAGAGCGCAAAATCTGGTGCAACTCTGCATAGGAGCCAATCAGCTTCCAGGTTTCATTGTCAAAGTTTAATTGAACAAGCTGAAGTTAGAATCTGATTGGCTACCATGCACAGCTGCACAAGATTTTACACTCTCCAGTTTTAGTAAATCAACCCCCATGCATCACAAACAATTTCCATTTTAAAAATAAAATACTTGTTTTAATCTTCTTTTTTATCTTGTGTTGCATCTTGGTGCTGCTGCTCTTCTAGAGCATCTTTGCAGCCACTTTCTCTCTTCGTGCATGTGCTCCAGCGAAGGTCGCGTGATATTTCTTGGGGCTGGTTTCATGATGGTGATTACAAAGGACCATACCTGTGTAACGTGTGTTGGAACCGCCGCTTTTATTTTCTATTGCAAGCCTGTGTGACAGAGTAACAATGCAGGAACACTAATGGGAGATAACAGAGAGCACTGCCACACTATATCTCTGAACGAAATCTCTGAACAAAGGCCTTCATGGCAGAATTATCAGGTATTAATTTAAAGCAGAGTTCCACTTGAAAGAAAAACTGTAGCCGCTGACTTTTAAAATACATCCACTTACCTGTTGCTCGGTCCTCACCACCGCTGGTTTCACCGGCCCTCTTCTCGCCCTGGCACCGGCATCTTCAGTGTGGGCACCCAGCTGTGACAGCTTGCGGCTTCACAGCCGGGTGCCCACTGTGCATGCGCGAGACGTGCTGCACTTTGTGAATGGCCCCGTAGTCTTCTGGAACCGGTCACGTGTCCCAGAAGACTACAGGGAGGGAGGAGGGGAGGACAACTTCTGCTTCCGATCGCATAGGCAATCGCAGTGGAAGTGGGAGCAGGTACCTGTCAAATTCGGGTACCTGCTCCCCAAAGGTGCCAATCCTTAATGGGGAGCGGGGCACAAAGGCTTAAAGCGGGACTTCCCCTTTTGGGTGGAGCTCTGCTTTAAGAAAAGCTGCAAATATAAGACTTTTGAAATGGCATTAACATGTTAAAGCTTATATAAGGTTTTAGTGATTGGTGTGATATATACTTTAAAGCAGAAATTTTATCTGCTTATATTTTTCTTTCCCTGATTCCTCCTTCCCTCCTCATCAACGTATTAATTACATTTACAAAAAAAAAAAAAAAAAACCTTTTCATTTTCATTACTTAACTTATTTTAGGTGAAGTGATATCATCACTAGGCCTCTTTTTTCTCTATGCAATGCATTCAGATGGCTGGTGGGAGGGGCTGGCAGGGTGCTGTACATATTTTCTTGAAAACATTGCAGCACCCTGCCTCAGTACTCCTTTCAAAAGCTGATCCAGCAGTGGGCTGGCTTCTGGATAGAGTTAACCTCATCAAGGCATTTTAATATTTGCATCTCAGTCTGAAGGAGTAGGCATTCCTGAGGAGACTATAGTAGTATGCAGACCACCCTAGATAATGTCCACAAGTGATATTGAGCCTCTGTAATTAAAAGGATTGAATGAATAAAAAGGTGGGTCAGGGACAGTAAGGCTAGCCACACTCTATACAATTTTCTTACAATTTTCTGCCCAATTTCCTTTAGATTTACCTTCAACTATGTAGCGCAAGGACCTGCCTATTTCGATACAATTGAAAGTGTTGTTTAGGTTTGACCTCCTATTATATGGTTTTTGGTAAATCTAAAGTAAAATTCTCAGAAAAATTGTATAATGTATGGCCAGCCTTAGGCTCGGAAGGAATGTACTAGATGATGCTGGAGGTATACAGTAAGGCTGAGGAGGAATGCACTAAGTGATACTGGATGTGAGAAGCTCATACTGTGCAGTGTGACCAGAGCAAGCAATTTCAGTACAGGAGAGAATCTTGTACAAGAGTGCAAAACTGAAGGTCAGGCTGGATTTCAGTGTTAAGTTACGTTATATAATTACGTTCCTTTTGGGGAGGCGATGTCTTTTGGTTCTTGGGTTCCTTACTGTCACTTGGCTGGTTATACTGGTTTGCATCTGACCAAATTTCCCGGCTTACATCATAGGTTCCTAACTGGTTCTGAACAGATATGGTAATTGCAACTTTGTGTAATGGCTTGTTGCATAGTATTTCACAGAGGAGTACAATGAGAATTCCATAGCTGACTTTAGCTGACTATATATCAGCATTGTGGTTTAGTGATGAGTAATTTGACCTTGCAATAAACAAATTTTGTGATCATCTGATATTAGCAAGAGTATTTGCAGCATCGTTCTTCATGTGTTTATCTTAACTTCTTCCAGGAAGTCTTGTTTCCTTTTTAATGCTTGTAGCGTTACTGATTTCCTCCCAGACCGGTACCTCCTGCATCGTTGCACACATAGTTCCCAAACGTCCCTCAGTTGGAGGAACTGTAACTATTTTAGAGCCAAATTCCTCTTTCCTCCTCAGCTGTTCTTGTCGCATATTTGGCTGAAGCCGAGTTGAGTAGAGGGCTTCCCTTATACCTCTTGTCCTGTTTCCCCTGGGGTTGATAAAAGGGTATAACAGGACACAGAGCGGCATGGGTGCCTGTAGGGGATCTGGGCCAGGAGATATTGTGTTAGATGTGAGCTGAAGACAGTGTAGCAGGGAAGCTGGCAACTGGAAGATGCAGGATCTTAGATGTGTGGTCAGGTAGACAGCAGTAGGCAACAATTAGGCAGCAGAGGTACGGAATCAGGAACCAGGAGCGTAGTCACTAACATGCAATACAATCTAATCTCTCCGAAGATATGAGCCCGTGCTTAAATACACAGAAGTCACTTATTAATTTTAAGATTTAATATCCCAAAGTGGACAGTGCATAAAATATGTACACAGTATAAAAAGTTACAAAAAATACAAGAAGACACACATTGACTATTCACTATAAAATAAAAAAGGGAATAAAAAAACTGAAATAAAACTTTTACCAAGGTTTATCCTGCGACTGGAGCAAGTCAGGGAGAGTCAGCAATCCGTCAGTCAATCGAACTAGCTCCATACGAATCACAATGTCCAAATGTCAGTGTCCTCAATTTATGGGGATATGGACGTAGGCTGGACATTAGTCCTTGGCCAATCGACTCTGGGAGGTGTTCCTGTACCCGCCCACAGGCTGTTCTGGGTGCTGAACTGCCCAAAGTCAATTGGACCAACACCGGCTTGAATCACCAAGTTGGGGATTGAATTTCCGACACCAGCGCAACAGTCCGATCGCGATAGTACCAATCACTGTTCTGCTATCGCACTCCAGCGCCACATAACCATTTCCTGCATTTTTCTGGCATTCTACATAGGTCACAAATATAGTTTTATATACCGCTGTAGCCCACAGAGTGCCCCATCAGAAGGAAGTATTTTCATCTCTCTGCAACTAATATTTTAGCTTTAATGAGGGATGAAACATACTCTTTTGATGTATGTATATACTTTAGAGCTCCCTAGACAGATCGGAGCCCCCCCTGGTGTCATGAAGCCGAAACGTCTGCGTTTCTCTTTTAAACTTCAGGAAGATGGCAAAGTCTGATTACATATAGGTGACAAAATTTTATTAGCACCCAGGCGTCACTTCCAGCCTGAGGCAGCTCTGTCTCTTTTCAGATGCTAATGGATGACCATCTGTCTCTGAGTACCTATGAATTAATATTTCTTTAATAACAAGGACTGAACTAAATTTCCGATTACATATTGTTAGAGGTCACATTTCAGCTACTCAAATCTGTACATTTATGTCACACTTAGCTTCTGCAAAGCGGACATGGATACAGCCTGCTCTGCTCTATGGGTAGCCCAGAGTAAACAGTCTGTTTACACCCAACTGCCCTCTGATCCAATCCTCTTAGATGGAGGAGGACAGATCCCATTCCGTATTTTTTAGCACATTGTCTTCTGGTTCCCAAGAATTTTCTTCTAGTCGATCAAATACTGGGTGCGTGCTCCTCTTGTACTACTGTCCAAAATAGCCTCCACTTCTTACTCCTCAGAGCTATTTATCACAATTGGTGGTGGAGGTCCTGTGTCTC